CTGTAATGTCATTTGAAGACCTCATATGGGGTGCGCCGCGCGCGAAGTGGACGGGGTGACCTACTTTCGACGGACGCGCCCAACGGACGTTCGCCCATCTCTGCACAGTACCTAAAGTGCCTGTCTTTACCGGTATATTCACTTCTTACAATCTATAGATTCTTCTAGAAAAACCTATAGAAGTAGCCGTACAACATAATCACTGCACCTCTCGAACACCGCTTGCTAGGCAGCTCCTCCCAATAGGAATGGGGTGGCACCCACGAATCACACTTTGATTGGGAATATGAAGACATTTACAGGACTTTAACTCTCTTTACTTGCAAAAAGGACTAAATTCCGAAAAAATAACTCTCTTTACTTGCAAAAAGGACTAAATTCCGAAAAAAAGTAAGCCTGCTACTAGCTGGCAAACAATTATTTCATTCTATCGATTCAGCGGAATCAATAAGTGAGCAAATAAATAAAAAAAGCTAAATAAAAAATATCCTGTCGAAATAAAAATAATCCAAGTTTGATCAGCGATCTCTGTAAAGAAATTGTAGCAATGTAAGCTTGCTTCAGAGGTCCTGGAACGCACTCGAATCCTATTGTAATAACAAAAGACTTCGATCGGGATACTTTGAAGTTTGTCGAAGAGCACAAAGCTCAAGTGAGTTTCATTCATTGGATAGAAGTTAAGCGGAATCTACCCATTTTCGTGAACATTGAAAATTCTAGTGGTTCTGTGCAACGATAAATTCAAACATCCCCGAAATAGTGTTTTAATATAAAGCTGAACTAAAGTCAGGAAAAAGTAATAGACGGGAGTTCAGATCGGTAACAGTAACAGTGGTAACCAACTGTCGCTCTGAGTGACAGCTAAAATACTCACGTAGGTACTCGAGTATTCATAAAAAGAGGAAAATAAGATAGGTTAATGTCTCAGATAAATCAGAGCACTTTTAAGATTTTGTCAGAGAAAAATATTTTTGAATTTAGTCCAGTTTTCAATGAAAAAAATTGAATGCAGCTCAGAAAATATTCAAATGTTGTTGCCATAGGAAAGCTGTCAGCAGCCCCCGGGTTCGAACGTTTTCATTGGCTTGACATTTTTAGCAAATGGTAGAAGAAGGTCCAGCAAATATCGTCGAAGTGAAGGCTACGGTATCGAGTCCGGATAGAAAAATGGACCATTCACTAAACAAAGCCGTCAACTCTGAGTTGGATCGAGCTATTCCTCTGGTTTTGAACAGGTACACTTGATCATTTTGCTGTATTGACATTATTTTTACTTTCTACTGTGAGCGCGGAGGTGGTGTAGTGGTAAGTGGCGCACTATCTCACACGCACGGTCACGGGTTCGAATCCCGGATCGACACCCGCCTAGGTCAATAAAACCTTCCATTCCTCCGGGATCGCCTGATTGGTACCAGTCTCGTCTGGGAGGGTAAGGCACTGACTTTTGCGTAAGCTGACCACCACAAGTCATTGTTTGGGCCACAAAGGCATTCAATACGCCACTACGATCCTGAATGGAAGTCGAATGCATGGGCGCATCCCTTGAAGGGGAACGATTACAGCCTCTAGACTACAGAGCTTTACTGAGAACGTGAATGCTCTCAGCTAAAAATCATTTGTAGACCATCAAACCTGAAGCGAATTCGTAATTAGCTTGATCAGTGTTCCTAAAAATGATTTGATTTTAACTCTACCAGCCTCAACCATCTATGCCTTTGTCGGAGAATCTACCTATGCTGTATTAGGATTCAGAGTGATGTCAAAGTTTCTTCTTCCCTCCATTTTCTCACTTTTTCTCTACCCTGATTCCGTTGGCCGCAACAAATTACCGACGTAATAAAATGACCGTAAATATAAAGGTCTGTAGGCAGAAATTATGTGGCCCCTGGCCCTGATGAACAACATTATACAACGCTAACCGTAAACAAGCCTCTTACGATGGTATACAAAGCATTCGTGGAGTTTAAAAGACTGAACGGATGGAAAACCATTTTCAAATTTAGGATGCAGGGTCCCATGGGAAATCTTGATGACGACGATCTGAGAAAGGAGCTTGAGCAGGCGTTGGTAGACGAACTTGCCAAAAATCTTGGCGAGACTATTGATCAGATGGGCACCAGTAGCATTGACGACGACGATCTCGGAAAGCTCATAGGTTCGACCATTTTTCATGATGGCTTTTCAAGTCCTTGAGGAAGATATTGGTAGATCTTGCAACTTTCTTTACCAGTTCAGAACTTTATCTTTGTAGAAGAAGGCTTCAATGAGATTGAAAAAGAGCTGCAAGCAAGTTCGTCTACATCCACATCACCTCCTACAACAACTACACAGTCGACCACTACAAGAAGAATGTCAACGACCACGACAGGAAGAAGGACAACGTCTTCAACGACTTCTAGGAGGACTACTACATCTTTGGTGGAGGAGATGATGGAGGAGTCGCCGTTCGAAAGGGTGAGTCGTCCAGATATCTAGACAGTCGCGGAGTGCGGTAGAAGTGGCCGTTTTCCACAGAGCGACTTCTGGAAGACGCGAAATTTCCCGTACCCATTCAATTATATCCAGATTTCTTTGCTGAGAACTTGATTTGGCGTACGCCTGGGGTTAAGTGCAACCGATCCGATATATTTTATGATTCTCTTTTGCTATATGTGACTTTATAGCACATGACCTTTTAGTTTGACCTTTAATTTTCTTTCTAATCAGTCACCTATCCGTATCAGAGAGAGAGAGTTCTCGGTAATGAAGCAATACTTTCAGACTCAACCACCAATGCACAGAGAGCCATCAAGTAGGAAAACGTCACCACCACGAACGACTACATCAACTCGTCCGACCACCACATCAGTCCACATTACCCCAGAAGCCACCACTGAGTGGTGGATGACCACAACTCATCCCACAACTACGAAAACTACAACTCGTCGAACTACTACGGCAGCAAGAACATGGACAACCCCCTCGTCGACGACAACATCGACAAGCGCAACGACCCATCCCACAAAGACAACTCGTCCAACTACAACTAAGCCATGGTGGATGTCGACTACACCTCATACTGCTACCACAACTCGTCCCACTACCACTGAACCGTGGTGGATGTCGACTACACCTCATGCTGCTACAACATCCCGTCCAACAACTGTCAAACCCGAAGCAATGACTACTCCATGGTGGATGTCTACATCTCCTCCAACGACAAGTACAACTCGTCCTGTAACCACCACATCACGCCCGACTACCACCCCTCCGTGGTGGATGGTTACAACTTCTTCTGAGGTGACAACATCTCGCCCGACAACTACAACTCGGACAGCCCCTTGGTGGATGTCAACTAGTCCTTCAACCACCAGAACAACTCGTCCATCATCTACAACACAATGGTGGATGACCACGACTCCTCCTGTTGATGTGGTAACTCGTCCAACAGCTGCTGCAACTGAGACCTGGACCACTCCGTGGTGGATGGCCTCTCCTTCGACGACAGTCAGTACAACACAACCTACCACAAGAACTCGTCCAACGACCACCACACCTCGCTCCTCGCCCACTACATCCCGTGCAACAACCGCTGAAGCTCGTCCGACGACCACCACAGCTCGACCAACGACTACCACACCTACTCCTATGACAACTACGTCTCAGCCATCGACCACTGTAACGACCGAAGCAACTCGTCCGCGGGCTACTACCTCCCGTGCAACAACCGCATCAATTCGTCCAACACAAACCACCTCAGCAACTATTAGTCTGGTCCCAGAATCTTCTGCGACAACGCTTCCTCCTTGGAGACCTACAACAACAACCACACGATCCGTTGTATTCTTTACGACAACATCTGCTCCCGGACGATGGAGAACAACGGAGGTCACATTCAGAACGGTTCCTCTACATGAACAGGTAAGGCGTAGGACTTTCGTACTGGGCAACATTACAATCGCTCCAACAAGGACATTTTATGAATCATTTCGCTTTCAGACCACCACCGAAGTCGGAGTAACCCATAAAGAAGGTAATTGTGTTGCATACAGCGTAGGTTTAAGGTAACCCACACGTATGTACATACAACTGGGTAACCTATAAAGATGATGAATGCGCTGAAAATGTCGTACTCATATGTGAAGTTACAGAAGTGAGTATGACCCGTGTTCCTCCCGCAAAGACCACCACGAAACCATCGACTTTTGCCGAGCAGAATATGATAAATCGCCAGCCCCACTTCGAAATTCCACCAAGGAAACAAACAGTTCCTAGTGGGAAGCAAGGAGAGTCAACACTATGGCGAGAAGGAGAACCAAGGATCGTCACTAGTCGACCTGTTCATGTCGTCTCACTAGATGGTAAGACAACTCGTACAAGGACCAATTTTCCATCAAAGTAGCATCTTTTCATTTACTGGGAATCTTGATGAACTGGTCGGAACGTGAAGATAAGAACTGTTCAGAAGAAACCGAAGCCACCACAAGAACGACTACAAGACGTGGAACAACCATGGGAAGGCGCATTACAACAACAACAACAACAACAACTTCAACCACTACGGTAAGTTCTAGGTATAGGCCGATTCTCGTTATAGGAAGGTCTAGATTTCAACAGGAACGTTTCCGACTGACAAATGGACAGAAGCACAAAGAAACGCTTAGACGTCTTTGCGACAATTCACTCTACTATAATACGATCTAGGAAAAAACTGATTCCGCGGTCTGGGCATGGGTCCTGGCTCAAACCCCTTTTGTGGCCCATACATCCGAAAACCATTTCGCCCCCATCCTTGTATCTGTCCTTGATCTTTTTTCATTGCGTCCTAGTAGTTGGGGGCTATTAAGTCGTCTGGCACCTTTTATATTTCACTGGATTACTGTATCAATTACTGAGTGAATTGAAGTTGATCTTGCTTGAAACTCCCACGAGGTTGTTATTAAAATTTATTTGCTAACAATTACTGAAGAGTGATAGCAACTGTGAACGAGAAATTATTGACCAAAGCAAAAAAAAGGGAAAAAAACTGCCGATTTTTTTCCAATGCACAGGGTAAAAGTAACATTTGCAAGAAATCTACTGAAGCCTAGCTGCTACTAAACTAATACTGTAGGTCAGGGAACTGACTACATTGGCGTCCATGCTTCTCCCTGCTCTCTATTTTAATCGTCGCGCAATGGTCTTGTTGAGATACTTCCGTCGAGGTCATTCTTCACGAACAACAGTTGGGTGCTCACTCAAAACTCGCAAAAGTTGTTCAGAAAGAGCACCATTTCACTGCTTTTCTCTAACGTCCTCCGTCTCCTCCATACGAAGACTATTTTTTGGTATCGTTTTGGTATCGAGCGGCAGCAGCCCGCTGTCGATCGAGTATGAACGGTTCGAGCCTGAGCGTGCTATAAACATCATACCATGATTTTTCAAAAGTTGCGATATAACTGTAGGACTTTGTTTGTAATTCCGTTTTAATTTGCACGTTTTACAGACCGAAGCACCTCACACCGCTATATTTGAAGAGTCGGCGTTTGGCACAGGCACGACCACAACCACTACTGCACCCATCACTGCACCACCCACGTCAAGCACTATAACCTCACCGACCAGTTCAGCAACCAGCACGTTCACTTGGAAAGGACCTTCAGAAGTTTCTAGCACAACAGTACAGTTAATAAGTCCGACCACGACAACTGCTGAATCTCCCGCGACGACGAAACAGCCAGAGGAGGAAGGGGAGCCTGAAGAGGACAAGAGTCGCATAATGACCAAGGAGCGACCATCCACGCCAACTACGGAATTTCCCGAGATGCCAG